ATGAGCTAAGTGAGATTTATCATATGAAGCAAAATAAAAAAGGAGTATGGAGCCTAGTAGCAACAGGATCTGAAATATATATAGAGGAAAAAAACAAGGTTTAAAGCTACAAACACATAAATGCCGCTTACTGTAGTTGAACCTTTGATCTGAGGAAGAATTGCAACATCACTAGCTCTCAACCCAATTGACAGACGTCTCCCTGCGAATATGGAAGCATATAAAGGGATTTTTATAAGGCACACAGTGTAAACTAGATTACATTTGTATACACACATTACATTTCCACAAGCTGAGGAATGTGTGGCAGACTTCAGTTTGTTTTTAGTTAAGCAAAAATAGGCTTTTTTCTTAAGATATTTTGACATAGCACAGGTATGAATAATAAAGTTAATGATAGCTGAATTCTATTTAGCTGCTTCAGTTTCAGGGTCCTGGTAGGCTGGCTCGCTGTCACACTGTCATGGCTTTACTAGGACAATGTTATTAGTAACACCTGTGCTTTTCCTACGACAAGTCATAATGTTTGCTGTGAAAAAAGCCTACAGGGCACAGCTGTACAGTGAATTGTGGCTTAGATTATTTTATTGATCTTTCCTTGGTTGATTATTGAGATGGGCATGATACTACACATATAATCTATGCCATAAATAATGGGTTGAAGGCTTTTAAAAAAAGATTATCAGTTGGTAATAAAATTATTTCTCATGACACACTGAAATACAACATATTACTTTGATTGATTAAACGTGGCAGCAAATAATGTTTGTTCTATTTAACTATTGAAACATATTTACAAATGACCAATCCTAAAACAGAAATATGTCAATCAATCACATCTTTACTCTTTATTAGCCTTACTTACCTCTGCCCGGAAACTGTTGATGGTAGAGCTGGTGAATGTTCTTGTTGACTTTGAGGATATTTTGCAGAGGACTGGGAGCACCTGCAGGCTGCCCATCATGCCCAACATCGTCCAAGTCACTTAGTGTCACCCATAAGCGTGCCAGTGATCCAAACTCCTGGAAGGCAAACTGAGCATACTGCTGAAACATCTCTACCAACTCCTGGCTCTCCCAGCCTCCATACCTTAATCTGAGAACTTCTGGCACTGTGGATCCATGAAGAACGACCAGAGGCTGAAGGCCCACCTCCAGCAGCTGTTTCAGCAGGGTCTGATAACAGCTAACCACAGCCTGCTGGGGCTCGCTGGAGAAGCCTGTTGGTAGGAGTTGAACCCATGACAGTGGCACACTGAAGTGGGTCACCCCTCTGCTCTGGAGGTACTCAAAGTATTGTCGAGAGCCTGGAGGTATGGGATTACTGCAGTCAAAGGCATCATTCACCGCATTGCCTGAACCTCTCACTGGCTGCTTTATCAGAGGGCCTGCAACAAGCATAAAGTCCTCCTGTCCATTTACCTCACTGCCCCGGCAACCATCTGGACAAAAAACGTACAGAAAGGCAAACCACAATAGATACTTCATTGTGGCTTGAAAAGGAGATGGATATTATCGACTGATTGCCAAGCTTTTATAGCTATTCTGTTTTCTTCCTATTGCCTTGTCACGTAACCAAGATCAATATCACATCCAAGCAGTTCAAGTTTCAATCTTTTATTGCAGTGGTGTGATATGGTCAGAAAGACTCTGGACTCATACAGTCAAGTACTCATGTTTGAACACCATCAAATATGTAGTCACAACATGCTGGTTTTTTGGAATAGGAATAGTAAATTGATATAATAAGTATAACTACAGGTGCTAAAATTAATCAATTATGATTAACTGCTGACTCCTGCATTGCCAGTTGTTATAATAACAATCTTGACCTGCAGTGACTTCCCAGATACAGTCCCTGGGCCCCATGAACTAATAAACCCTGAACCACTTTGTTGTTTACACAGAGGAAATTTGGGTTGTTACTCATTAAAGTTACATTACCTGACATTACCGCTAGATCAATACCTTTTTAACCATTTATATTGCTTTCTGTTTTATCCCTAAAATTGATAATTGCATTATCTATTACAAACAGAACTCAGGATGAAGGAGCCCAAGCAGTTTTATTAGCTTAACTTTCAATAAAATTCACACAATGGTGGACATACATTTTTCTTTATTGAAAATGACCTTAAAATGACCTGTATATATAAAGGGTGAGGGTTGTTTTCTATTTTGTTGTAAATGTGTATTATAATCATACTACATCTTGATTATGTATTTTTTCCTGATGCACTGCTCTTGCAAGTTTAAAAAACAAACAGGCTGTTTATTTAACTCTCTATTTAACTTTAATATGTATGTCTGTATTGCATCCATATGGTGCAAAAAACACCTTTTTACAGTAATATAAACAATATTTTTTAAATATTCTGCATAGTTTATAGTTTACAGATTGAGCATCTATGATATATTAAAATGCCACTGCAGTTAAATTTTGCAGTCTAAACAACTTTCTAGCAATATTCTGGCAATAGAATTGTTATTTTAGAAAAATCTAGATATTTTGCCACACTGTTTGAAATTATAATCCAAGTAAATTCTTAATACAACAAAATACGCTTTTTATACTGTTACTGTAAGATTTACCATGTCAGTTAAACTGTTTAATGGTGTTTGAAATATTAGTTTCAAAAAGTATTACATAATATAATCATTCTCTTTATGGATATTTAATATTAAACTTAGTAAACCAATAGCTGCTTTTATTGAATTTCCTCTTTGACTTCTGACACATATTGTTGTTTTTACCTTGTCATAAATCTCTTTTATCCTCCTGACCTTTAGTATTTTATCTAAAGCATTCAAGGTTACGACCACTTACCAAACACATCATAAAGTATGTAACTAAGTATGGTCTGACTGAAAGTTCAAGCTTATAAACTGCTATAAAAGGATGTCATCCAGTGGCTCATTCAGCTCCCCAAACTCAGACAATATGTCGCCATTTGGGAAACTTCTCTGTCTGTGTTTGATAACTGTGTATGGATGCATGTGCCAGAAACATGATGACCGACATCAGGCCATGTTTCTTGCCGGTCCCATGACCAACAAACAGGTGAAGGGCCTGGATGGCAAACCCTATGAAGGAGCAGTGTTGGACACCTTTGACTGCAGTTATCCTGTACCTCCAGATTCTCGACAATACTTTGAGTACCTCCAGAGCAGAGGAGTGACTCACTTCAAAGTGCCACTTTCATGGGCTCAACTCCTGCCAACAGGCTTCTCCAGCAAGCCCCAGCAGGCTGTGGTTACCTGTTACCAGACTTTGCTGAAAGAGCTGCTGGAGGTGGGCCTTCAGCCTCTGGTCGTCCTTCATGGATCCTCATTGCCAGACACTCTGCGGTCAAGGTATGGAGGCTGGGAGAGCCAGGAGCTGGTAGAGCTGTTTCAGCAATATGCTGAGTTTGTGTTTGGAGAGTTTGGAGAGCTGGCAGACTCCTGGGTGACACTGAGCAGCTTGGATGAGCTGAGGGATGCTGAGCTGCAAAACATTCTTGATTTACACACCAGTGTCTACCGCCGCTACCACCAGCTATTTCCTAACAGAGGTAGGAGATCAATATTACATTGAATTAAGGGCTGGGCTTAGATAACATAATTAGAAAGCTGCAGACTAATGATTTATTGTATAAAACATGTAGCTAGTATGGAATGGGAAACTATTAATCACTGTTTCAGTCAGGACCACTTTTGTCAAAATAACTTTTATTCCAAAGTAGAATATTACATTTGGCGGTATGGCTCT